TGGGACTGGGGTGGAGGCAGGACGTGGGCTGGGGACAGCCAGCAGGCAGCCCAGACAGGGCGCAATGAGCCGGCAGCGGGGCTGGGGGGCAGGCTGAGGGCCAATGGCCAGGGATCTCCCCAGGACCAGCACATTCCCTCCGTCAGGACTGGGCAGATCCCACAGGTGCTGGGTGAGGGAGGCCCAACCTGTGCCTTACCTTTGAGCAGCAGCACCACACAGCAATTTGATGTCGTTTAATTAACCCACTTCAAATCCACACCCCTAGTGGATTCAGATGAATTTTCCAAGCTGTGCCTGTGTGGATAGCCCCTTGGAGGACTGCCCCTTCCCCACACGAGAGGAAATGAACGCACAGTGCAGTTTCTTGACTTAATCCTCAACTCCTTTTGTTGTGTCTTGGTATATTAGACATCAGACCCACCAGGGCAACCTGGTATCTCTTCCCCCTGCAGGCATGAGCTAGGGGAGTGCTGCTGGGCTTCTGGCTCAGCTGGTCCCTTACAGGAATGCAGCTCCCCAGAACTTCAAGGAGGTGTGACTACGATCTGGTCTACACAGCAGCCCTATATCACTATACCTAAGCTGGTCAAGGCGACATACCAATACCGACCTACCCGTGGGTGAGACAGCCCTATAGCAACAGGCCAGCTCTCCCCACCAGCTTAGTGTCTTCATTAAGGCACTACCTTGGTACAGCTGCGCTGACGCAGCACTTGAAGGGTTTGCTGATTTGCCCTGAGAACAGAAAAGGACCATCCCAGATTATGCCAATATTTTAACAAGGGCGGGGGCTCCAAATACTTTCCCCTCCTGAGGAAGAGGTGCGGAGGTCACAGGTGAGGAAAGGAGGCACTATCCAAATACCTTTTAAAATAAAAATTAGAGGGTTGCCCCCTGCTCACTCCACTCGCCAACCCCTTCCCCTCTGGCCACGAAAACCCCAGTTCACTACGCTCGCCAACCCCCTCTCTGGCCACTTTCAAGGCCACAGAGCCTGATGACATCAGTGTGTGTTACAGCAGGGGAGAGAGAGAGAGAGACTCGGAGTTAAAGAAGCAACGGAGACGGAGTTCCAGCAGGTATAGGACTGGTCTGGCCCTTCACTTCATAAGTGGGGCAGGGAAAACAGAAGAGAGATCTGAAAGTGGCAAGAGCCAGGGTCTGGTGCTGTCAGGCCCAGAGCCCTGCACTGAGAATGCCTACCCTTTGGGGCGTCTGCAGGCTGCCCTCTGGAGACTTCAGTGTCTGTCAACGTCAGCTGTCACTGAGGTTGACAGAGAAGGCTGGCCTTTGGTTAGCTAGGTTCTTGCCCATTAAGGGCTTTAAGTCTCAAGAGCAGATCACAGAAATAGATCCAGACAGGGACAGAGAACAGCGTATCACGAGATGTATTGAACCAGCCAATCTCCCTTTCAAACTGCCAGATGCTCTCTGTACTGGCATGGCAAAAAGTTGAGGGAAAGGTTACAGACAAAATTCACCATTGGCATATTTCCATTAGGGACACTATTTTACACACTTACCTTCTCCTTTGATCTCATGGGGGTAACCAACCACAGCTGTTTCAGGCACAGCTGGATGTTCATCCTTTAAAAAAAATAGCAGCAAAATATAAGAGCCCTAAGCGGGCTGTGCCCACGAAAGCTCATGATCCCATCTACATGTTTAGTTAGTCTAGAACATGCTACCAGACCATTGGTTGTTTTCCTCCTCTATTCAGGCCATCTAGGGCATGCCTCCACTGTAATTAGACATCTGGGGCTGTCCCCTGCCACCCGACTCAGGCTCGAGGGGCTGGGGCTAAAAGGTTGTTTAATTCTGGTGTGGACATTCAAGCTCGCATCTCCCCATGTCACAGAACCCAAGCCCAGATGTCTACACCACAATTAAACTGCCCCTTAGTCTAAGCCTGAGTCAGCAGACACATGCCAGCTGCAGGTTTTGAACTGTGGTGTAGACGTAGGGTCCAGGAGCCTAGGCTGGCTCTGTTAGGAATTGTAACAAGTTGCTACCTATGTGTGAAGTTCTACTAATACATTTCCTACGTGCACTGTACTGAGACCCCAGCTTCTGTATATGAACAGCCAGGCTGGGTCAGACCAATGGTCCAGCTAGCCCAGTGCCAGGTGCCCAGAGGGAGTGAACAGAGCAGGGAATCCTCACATGACCCCTCCCGTCGCCCATTCCCAGCTTCTGACAAACAGGCCAGGGGCCCCCCCCTGCCCATCCTGGCTAACAGCCACTGATGGACCTGACCTCCATGGATTTATCTAGCTCTTTTTGACCTCTGTTATAGACTTGGCCACATTAATGCTGGGCTTAATGAAATTAACAGGAGCCATATGTGTCCATCCCAGCACAGCACGTAAGCCAGTGGCTTTGGTTGAAAAGGGCCCTGGTTTTAAACCGCTGAATAGTGTTTCTGACATCCCTTTTGGCTAATGAGAATAAATCCTGAAAAGCACATCCTATATTTAGACTTGGGTAGAGCCCTGTGAGCAGCTGCACTACTGCACCCCCAGGTACAGACAAAGCGGTGGCCTGCACTAACCAGCCTCTCCTTGCTCAAAACAAGCGTTTCTTGTCTAAAGGTTGGTTTGCACCGAGGGAGCCCACTGACTGCTGATCCAGCAAGGCCCAATAGCAGGCAGAGTTAAGCCGAGGTTCATTCTCCACTGCTTTGCGCTTTGAGCAGTCATCTACGCCAAAGCACGTGCAAATCATCTTATTTATATGCCCTTGTCAGTGGCGGAAATCAGTGCAGAAAGTACAGCACAGGGCAGTGGAGAAGTAGGCCTCAGTCTCCCAACAGACGGAAGCTGAATATAGATCTTTACTAACTGTGGGTATGTCTACACTGCCACCCTAGTTCGAACTAGGGTGGCTAATGTAGGCATTCGAAGTTGGAAATGAAGCCCGGGATTTAAATATCCCGGGCTTCATTTCCAACTTCGAATGCCTACATTAGCCACCCTAGTTCGAACTAGGGTGGCTAATGTAGGCATTCGAAGTTGGAAATGAAGCCCGGGATTTAAATATCCCGGGCTTCATTTCCAACTTCGAATGCCTACATTAGCCACCCTAGTTCGAACTAGGGTGGCTAATGTAGGCATTCGAAGTTGGAAATGAAGCCCGGGATTTAAATATCCCGGGCTTCATTTCCAACTTCGAATGCCTACATTAGCCACCCTAGTTCGAACTAGGGTGGCTAATGTAGGCATTCGAAGTTGGAAATGAAGCCCGGGATTTAAATATCCCGGGCTTCATTTCCAACTTCGAATGCCTACATTAGCCACCCTAGTTCGAACTAGGGAGGCAGTGTAGACATACCCTTACTCTGCCAGGATTCATTGTTAACGGTGACAATCCTTCTACACTGACAGAGCAGATTGTGTGTGCAGACTGATAGCGCCTATATTCATTTTAAACCAAAAATGGGTTATGCTCTTTTAAACTTGATTAAAATACGGAAGAAAACTTTGTCTTAGCTGTGCCTCTCTGAGAAGAAACCTGCATGAAAATATACAATGGCGAGCTTATTAGGTCTTCCAAAAGCTAGCCTCAAAAGTCAGCACTAATGTCATACGAGATTCATTTGTAGATACAATATTACAATGTAAGGATAATTTTGTTTTATCAAATTTCACATGATTACGGTCTGCAAGCGTGGCACTTAATGTGCAAAGAAACGCTCCACTCAAGCTACATAGAGAAATGCTTTGAGAGATTGTGTGTTCAACTCTGTGGCTACCATGACCTCTTAGCTAGGTGATGGACTGGACTCTCCAGCGGTGTAAACTGCATTTGCTCCATGTTTAATGTTGGAGAAGGTTACAAACCATGTTCAAATAGTACAGATAGGCCTGAGCCAGAAAGCTGAGAACAAAATGTTAACTCCATCAAAGCTACTAGTGAGGGAAGCTAGAGGGGAGTTCTGAAGCCCCCGCCATCCAAAAGTAAAACAGCAACAGTGAGAAATCACGGATGTAGCTTGAAAACAGGAAATGAATTCAGATCTGATCAGTTCAAACAAAGGAACTGCAAGTAGCCCTTCACTTTGATCTCCTTCATAAAAACGATCTTAACCCTGAATAAACTTTCCTGATTTCCATAACAAGGTTGTTTTCTTCTGCATAATCACTGCCTGGTGTATTTAGTACCAAGTATTGTATTTAGTGCGTGGAGGTCAAGCACACATGAGAAAGAGTCTGGGGTAGTAAAGTTACTCGTTATGCATTAACCAGCGAGCCAGACCCTCCCACGCTGTACATCAGCATAGATCTGATTTGTACCAGCTGAGGGTCTGGCCCCAAGTCTGAAGGGCTTTTTGTGGGTTTCAACAATTACCATGGCATCTTCGATCTCTGCCGTTCCAAGCCTGTGACCGCTGATATTTATGACATCATCCATCCGCCCTGTTATCTGGTAATACCCTTCTGGGGATCTATAGGCACCATCCCCGGTGAAATAATAGCCTGTAGCAAGAAAGAACACCATCCCCTGTGACCACAGCAGCTAGTATAATAATTCATTACTTGTGGTTGCTGTTTGTATTACTGCTTTATACTCTTAGGCCCTTTCCATCACAGATCTCCAAGCACTCTACAGGCGCCCGTTAACTGAGCCACACAACACTCCAGAGGGCAGGGTTTTGTTACACCCACTTCCCTCTTAGGGAATGTACATGCTGGAGAGGGGCTGGGACCTGTCCTCTGTCCTGCCATGGCCTCCACGTGTGACCTGAGGCAAATCACTTCTCTCTGCCTCCATCCGCAGTGTAAAATGAGGGTAACACTCCTTCCTTTCTCCTAGCCAGTGATCTGTCTTGTCTGCTGGGGCTGTGAGCTCTTCTGGGCAGCATCTAGCACAGAGGGCTTGGATCTCGCCTCGGCCGCACAACCGCAGGAATACAAAGAGCAGTGACTGAGCATTCTGACAGCCCCATGACGCCGGCAGCCTCACCAGCACCCTCCTCCCAGGGCCCCAGGAGGCACTGACACCCTTAGCATTCCGCACACACTTGGCTTCCAGGCACTACTGCTGGGATCCCTTCAAACGCACACTCCTGCAGGGGACTGTGGCCCTTGAACCCGGCTTCTGGGTTCAACATCCACGAGACATCCTTGACTTGGCCTGACGTCCATCACACCAGCATCTAGCCCCAGGAGAGGCAGTGTCGGCAGGCACTCAGAGTCCTTGAACGGGACTCAAGACATCTGGGTACTAATCCTGGCTCTTACCCTGATCTGCTGTGTGACGCCAGGAGAGTCCCTTCCCCTCTGTTCTCTCTCCTCCCAGCCTTTTCTCGCTTGTGTGCACCGTGCGCTCTTTGGGCCAGGAGGCATTGTTTCCTACTACGTGTACGTACAGCACCCAGCACAACAGGGTCCTGGCCTGGGGCCTCTCTGCACCACAGGAATAGAGCTACTTATGCGGGGCAAGACCTGTACAACTTCGGCAGCAATCCCTGGCTGGGGTCACGGAAGTTAAACTCGTCCACTCCCCTCCAGCACAGCCAGCTGGAAGAGTAACTCAGATCAGCAAGGAGACTTCTCCCCTGAACTTCCCATGCTACAGTGAGAGCACATTCACTGCGACTGCACGCCCAGGGCTATATTTGAGGCATAACAGACACAAGGAAAATCCCTCCATTCTGTTTTCTCTGTATTGCATAAAAGAGACGTCACTGCAAGAGCCGGGTGAGGTAATGCCACAGCAGGAAGGTGTCCACACCCTGCTGCTAACCACAGAGCAATGCTTCCCATGTGTCTTGGCAATCCCTGTGAAAGGAGAGCAGTTCTGTTTGACGCCTGTCCCAGAAAGGACCACTGTCAATGTTTTGAATCACCTACGGCTGAACACATGCAAACATTTCTTCCCCTGCAGCCAGACAAACACTAATTACACCCAGTGCTTGTCTACATGGCAAATGCAAGTGTGGCAAGCAGCCAGGGTGTGAATTTATAGCACACTCATTTCACAGCCATTAACTGGCCATGCAGACAAGCCTCCCGTTTCACAACACCCTGGAGAGATCAGACAGCACTATCAGTAAAGGGGATTGATCCACCCAAGGCCACGCGGGGAGGCAGTGACAGAGCTGGGGAAAAGAATCCAATAATCTTGACTTTTGCTCCAGCCTCAAGTGCTGTCAGGTCCCACAGACCCCACAGACTTCCTCATGGGTACTGTGAATGATTAAAAGCAAAGCCACTTGCAAGGCTGTGTAAGCAACCTGTGCTATGGTGAGGCACACCCATCAATGTGCCTGGGTGAAATCGATGCAACTGGCCCTGGGCCATCATTCCTCCCTGACACCGTCCTTACCTGGGTACTTTTTGAAGTAAGCGTCTATAAATCTCTGATCATCTCCATAGATGGTTCTCGCCAGGCCAGGCCAGGGCTGTGCGATGCACAGAGCACCAGAGACATCGTTCCCCTCGATAACTTTTCCCTGTTGGTCCAAGCACAGGAGGGATTGTCAAACACATGATGGGCAACATCCCAGACTATAAGAAAGTAGCTGGGTAGCACGGTCTAGCCCGGGGAGGCCTGAGTCTGGTCTCCCCCCACTTTTCACTGACTTCAAAGGTGTCAGGGCAGGCGAGCGCCCTTCATGTCCTGAAGCTTCCCAGACTCGGTGTCTCTTTGCAGCAGCTGAGTGGGGGCGGCTGTACTGACTAGTGGGATTGCTGTGCAGGGACGCACACAAGCAGCAGCAGCGGGAATGAGTCGCACACTACTCGGGAGAAAGGAACGGCAGGTGACCCCCAGGGCACAAAGAAAATACAAAGCTCGCTCTCCCGCACGCTGGGGGTGCACTGGCGCCAGAGCACAGCACAGCGGCAGGCGGGGGGCAGCTCCCTGACCCTAGGGCTGCCAGGGCTGACTCTGGGCCAAGCACAGGGCACCTAAGAGCGTTTGCAGCCCCACCACATCCCAGCCCTCACCGGCCCGTCGCTAGCCACAGCCTCCGGCGGGAAGGCAGCGTTCTCCTAAGCCACCCGACAGCCAGGCTGAGAACAGCTGCTGGCCAGGGAGAGGCCAAGCTACCGCGGATCAATACAGAGCAAGGGACGGAGCGTCAGCAATGTGCCGCGTGAGCCAAATACCAGTAGTGAACGTGATTCCCTTCCTGTCCCTCTCGCAGGAAGTGGCTGCAGCTGCCTACCTCAGGGGAGGCTGTGAACATGAGCTGTTATTTTACAGTTGGGGAAACCGAGGCACAGTGGCATGGAGCCAGGCAGGTGCCTATCAGGATCTGCAAGAGCATCCAAGCAGGTTAAAAGCCCAAATCCCATTGATGTTAATGGGCATTAGGTGCCCAACATGCTCAGGTGCTTTGCAAAATCCTACTCGGCACCACAATACCATTGAAAACCTGGTCCTAAGTGACCTGCCCAAGGCTACGCAGCAGGGCCCCAAGCTCTCAGCCAGGTGCGAGGGGGGCGGGGCAGCTTATGGCGCACCACCCTCCCAGGCCACCCACGCAGACTGGCTGGGGCTCGGGCTTTTGGGACCTTTGGGCTGTGCCCAAAGCACCAGACAACCCTGCCTCTCGGCTGGAAATCTCCTTGTGGGGGCAAAGGGGCCCCAAACACAACCGGGGCCTAAGGCCTGAGACAGGGTACCTCTCAGCAGCACCGGGCATGCGCGCAGACAGACAGGCCGAGCCTGGAGAATGCCGACTGCAGGGCGCACGCAGGGAGGGGTCCGCTGACTGCACGGCATGCCCAGCAAACACCGAGGGAGAACAGCTCCCTGCACAGCTGCCCGTGGTCCTGGGGCACTTCCCTCGGGCCAGTCCTGTCGACTCCAGTGAGACACTCCCGGGTCTGAGCGTCCCCAGGCCCTTGCACTGTGCAATTGTCACCGTCACCCTAGAGCCAGCCCAGACGCATCGCCCCACTGGCTCTCTCCAGCATTTCACCGTGCCTGGAGACGGGCTGGATCCCTACTGGGACAGGTGAGGAACAAACCGGCGTCCGGCTGCCTTTCCTAAGTGCTTTGGCCACTGAAAAGGGGAATTAGCCGGATACACGCAGAGGCAGCAGGTTTGCCAGCTCTTTGTACCATGGCCCCAATGGCAGAGCACACAACTCACGTTCTCATCCATCAGCGCCGGAACAATCCCAAAGAACGGCCTCATAGCCATCGCCGGAATGACCTCAGCTCCTTCCTCCGAGGGCCGGGGAGCAATGCACACGCCTCCTGTTTCTGGAAGCCCAACAGAAAAGTAGCAGAGGCTGAGACTCACCAGAATGGCAGGGGAGGCGCGAGCCGAGCAAGCGCGTTGACTCTTCTCAAGGGCACAAGAGCAGCCCAGTGCAGGCCCTCCCAGTAGGATCCCTCTGGCGAGGTCTGCAGCGTACGGGACAGCCCCAGGTAGGAGAGACAGGGCGGGGAGGCCAGATCTTTTCTTGACCAGCTTCTCTGAGCGAGAGACCAGCCTTCGAGCTGACCCCGAGCTGCCTGAAGCAGAATTCTGGGTGGCTCACAAGTTTGCTTCTGTCATGCACAGAAGGTGGTTCCTCACCCACCATGTCTCAGTAACGCTTTGAGGCAGAGACCCTGCTTCGCCAGGCTGTGCCCACAGCGTACGCGTTGAAGGGGGTACCCCTTTCCGCTCTCTCCGCGGCACAGTGCAGTGCACAGCGCCGGGAAAGATCTGAGCTCAGAAATGATTTGGGGCATCCAGACAACAGCTGCATTATCATAGCCCCCTTTAAACCTCTCCTCCAAACCCTCTCGGGCCATGGCGCCTCCAAAGCACTGGCCAATGGTCAGCCAGCTGGTGAGCTGTGACCACCGCCTGTCACTGCTCGCACCTGTATCCCCGTTATCTCGGGCTCATCACCTGCGGCTGCTCAACCTCGCCTGCGAGTGTCAGTTCCTCTGGACATGCCCGGACGGTGCCTCGTATTGTGGCAACATGGTGCCTACCGTAGCAATAGGCGTATTCCTTTCCTCTTCTCTTCAGCTGGCGTCCTGCCCATTATTTTCTAAACCCTTCCCCACTACGTTTGAACCCCCTGCAGAGCTGCATCCTTAGAACGCGCTGGTGCCCAGAAACAATCTGGCTGTCGCAAGCCACATGAAAACGGACACCCGTCTTTATAAATGACAGTCGTCAGAAATAACGGGGCCTGGGTCAGCAGCTGGCGTCAGGTGCGGCGCAGCATCAAAGTGCCCTGCTTCGGGGCAACCGACTCCAAGGGCGTGGCCTGTACTCGCTGGAGTCAGTGGCAACGCTCTCGCTGACTCTAAAAGTGCAGGTCGAGGTCCTAGTGAGGAGCAGAGCAGCAGTGGCCAGAGCGCCGTGCAGGAGGTAACAGTGGGGGTAGCAGCTGTGGTCTGGACGCACACCAGCATTACAAACGGGAGAGGGGGTGCATGCCTTAGACCTGCATCCTGCAAGTACATTTCTCAGAAGGAGCAGCCCGCTGATTCAGCCCAGAGCGTGCCCCTAAACTAACACACACGCACCGCGAGCTACCCGGGCAATGCATTCATTCCACAGAATCGACACAGTGAGCACGAATGTTCAGATTCCTTTCTTGTACGCAATGCTACCTGGGAAATGCTGCCCAGCCCCATTTCCCACCCCCCCGCTGATTGTAGCAGTGGGGGTATAAGCACAAAATATCAGGGGATTTGTTTCCTTGTGCTGCTTTTACAGCACTTTGAGGAATTTGTATGAAAAGCGCTTTATGAGACTAAATTACTATTATTATACGGCATTAGAATAGCCCTCCCATTAGGGGCATCCTGAGATTATTTTCCATTCAGAACTGAGCCTCTTAATCAGTCTTCCCTCATTTCTGCTGGGATGAATGTTAAATCAGATCAGAGCTTTCAACCTTAATCAGAGCTCTCTCCAAACAGCCACGGCCCTTTCCTAGCACAGGCAGAAGCCAGAAGAACTGCTGTGAGGCTGGCCGAGTATGAAACGCATGCTGCATGTAAAATATGCCTGTTTAGCTCCGCAGCAATGGATGCTCTTTATACGAGAACATTAATTAAAATCAGTCCTGTAAACATTTAAATATAGCCCATGCCATCTGTTACCCAGCACCATGACGAAGTCCATAAAAGCCAGCAGAGCGGTGCACATCCAAGGGGAGACACATGATGGCAATAGGATGAATGGGGCAAAATCCTTCAAGGAAGTAAAAGATCAAACAGAGGCAAGGCAATGCAAAGAGTGGGAGGAAATGACAGCTTTCCCCCCTTATTCGCGGTGGGCAGTAGCTCAAGACAGAGCCGACACTCAAACTTGCACTGTTTTAATTAAAGGGATGTTTTTCCCCTGAGCTGGTTAAACAGAGCACACTTCTGTGTGGACACTATTAAACTGCTTATTAAAATGGCTTATAGCAGGTTTGCTTAATGTGGCGCAAAGTCAACTTCAGCCAAGTTGACACAAGCCTGGTTTAAATCATGTCCATGCAGGGGGTTTAAAGTAGTTTAACTAAATTGGTCTTTAAGAGCAAGCAAAGAACTCTGGGAATAAGAAGAATCCACAGCAAAGCGGCACCTTGCAGAAACCAAATCAACCCCAAGCTGAGAAAGTCACGTCATCTGGAGCAGTGGGCCGTGCCCACGAAAGCTCATGATCCCATCCACATGTTTGGTTAGTCTTTAAGGTGCTAGTAGACTCTGTTGTTTTCCCAAGTTGACAATGACCTTGGCAGAATCTCTGGGCAATTGTCCCTCAAATCTTTGAGCACCTCTGCAGTGTGTTAAGCACAAACAGGCTTTTGCTTAAATATTACACATGCATGCTTGTTGTTTTACCTGTTTCCTTAAATATTTTCTGTTGATAATGTCATCAAAACCTTCTCTCTTCCTCCACATATTTTGTGTGCTCCTACATTCCTCCTGCAGAGCTCGTAGCACTGCAAGGAAGCCAAAGTCACAGCAATTCTACTCTGTGCTGCCCAGCAAAGTCAGCACTTTGGAGACCACCACAGATTTTCTTTGTGGAAACAAAGCATGCTCCTTAGCTAACGCTGCATGGGCATGAATGCTGCTGTGGAGAAGAAGAGGATGTAGTCATGCCTGGGGTACCAATATCAGCAGGACTCCTCAGTGAGCCATGCTGCCTAGGAGAAGCACCTCTAACTTAGGATCTCCAGGATCTGGTGGGTATGGGCACTCGGAGAGGAGCCCTAGTTAGCAATTCCACTCGGAGGGGAACCCCAGTTAGCAATTCCATCAGATGAACTCCCAGAGTTTCCTGGACCATCTGTGCGCTTCTTGCGGGCTTTATCACAGAAGTATGACCTGGTTTTTAATAAAGAAAGTCAAATAGAATTCCTGTGTAAAGGCTTTTACTAATAGCCTTATCCTCCTGTGCTCCTTATCTTCTTTATGCTTCCTCCTTTCCATGACATAAATCTAGTCCCTTGTGGAGCAATTCACAGTCCATTCTCACATGAAACTTTATTTACAAGTTAGCAGAGAAGAGACTGTCTGGGTTACCACTTTTTGTTAACACAATATTCAATACCAATATCTCTAGCTAGCTGGCAAAATTCATAATCTTACTCGCACTGAAGCTGACGAGAGTTTTGCTGTTGTTTAATAAGAGCAGGAGCAAGTCCACGAGAAGAAGCAATACACCCTTTGTATGACCAAGTACGAGAATCCAAGCACTGAGATGTCCTATTCTGAGATCCAGGGCTGGCTTACCCCTCCTGTGGGCCAAGGGCTATAGATTTTGTGGGGCTCCCAGGCTGGGACATGGAGTTGGGGTGCAGGAGGGAGTTGAGGGTGCTGGCTACGGGAGGGAGGCAAGGCTGGGGCAGGGGTGCAGAACGGAGTACAGGGTAGGGATGTGAAGGGGTAACCGGCCCAGCCGGAGCAGCCCCCTACCTGCTGCAAGGATGGTGCTGAGGGCAGAGGCAGTGCATTGAGCCACCTTTCCGTGCGAGTGTTGAAAGGCTGCTATATTCAACCCCCAAAAGATGTCAAAAGCTAAGTACCGGGCACTTACGGCCCACTGTGTTAGCCTCATTTAGCACGGACACTCGAATTGACAAGATTCTTTCCCCTTCTCTTTCCTTCCTCATCCCCTCCCTTTGTCTGCTATTTATTTGCACCTCTGGACCCCTTCCTCCACTCATCTAAGAGGTAGGTTGTGCCCAGGAAAGCTCATGATCCCATCTCCATTTTTGGTTAATCTCTAAGGTGCTGCCAGATCATTCACTGGCCTTAGTGGAACTGAGGCAAGACGGACTTCATTTGGATGGGAGCCCAAGAACCAGCCTCCTGCTTTCTGTGACACGGCTCAGTGCTAAGCCCCTGTTCAGTCACCACACGACACTCTCAACTAGAGCTATTCATTCACCTGGCGAGAGACAGCTAACTATACAAAATAGCATAATTTCTCTCACATCCATCCTGAAACAAAGCTAAGCCATCTTAACTGTATACTTTTGTCAACTACGGGGATGAACAAATACCCTTATGGCTACGTAGTTTTATTTTCCACATGAAAACAGGACAACACACACTTAGGCAGACTCTGTGCTTCACTGTCACCGGTTGCTGTGCCATAAATTGCTTTCCACAATAAAAAACTTTGTCGAGGTCAGTTCAATTCTCAAAATAACTACTGCCTGGTTTCCATTTCAGACAGCTGTCTCTCATATTCAACTGAACAATGAAAATGGTTTTCTGCTTCTAAAGATGGTCAACGCTTTCAAATGTTCAAAATGAAAATGCAAATGTTTCATGAAAAAATTGCTGGTTTTCAGACAGAGAGAGGATCATATTTTGCTGAAAAAAACCTCAAAAATGTTAATAAAATGTGTTCAGGAAAAAAATCCCCCAAAAGTGGTAAAGTCGTCACCACTTTCTAAATGTTCCATGATCATTCCTTGCAAACATGTTCCTCTTTCCCAGCAGCGTTTTTTACCTGTTTGCCACCAGGTGTCAACAAGGGTGCACCGGCTGTCTCCCACTACACGGTAGAACCATTGCCACGCTTCATGGTTAATTGGTTCTCCCACTAAATCCAAAACAGGAAAGAAAGAAGGATGAATTCTGAGAAAAGGATTTGTACACTATGTGCTTCCCCTTCAATGTATATAGGTTCAGAAGGATTCGATTTTTACTGGCAAATGTCTGTATCTGTCCATATCAATATCACTATCAACACCAAACTAACCAGAAAATATTTCCAATGAGAATAATTGAAATTACAGATAGGCAAAGTAAGAAACATGCTGCTTGAGAACTTACTACAGTTTGATTTAAGAGAAGTTACTCTGCATATTATGTCATCTGATGCTGACAATTTTGTGGGGGTTTTTAAACCTCAAAGGCTACTGTTATTGAATAATTATTGTTTAATCTCTCCTTAATTACCCTCAACTATGAAAAAATATATTAACAAAAATTTTAAAAAATGCATAAAACCCATAATTTCATCCAAGTTTGGAAATTTAAATTAAAAATTAAAAATGCTTAAAAATAATCAATATAATTCATTGACATTATAAAAAAAATCGAATGTTGCCAACCCCAAATACATTGCATGCATATTGCATGATCTCAGACATTTCTGATCATAATAATTTGTCTACACCTATAAACTACTGATCATACTGTACCGAGACATGAAAAGAAGTTTAATGTATCTGTGTAATATGCTGAGCCTCACATTGTAAGACATTCCTTTCCTAGAACTGGTGAAAAGCAAAAAGGACTCTAAGGGTACGTCTACACTGCAACACTATTTCGGGATAACGGAGTATCCCAAAATAGCTATCCCGCACCTTCATAGCAATCCCGTTATTTCGGGCATGCTATTCCAACATCCCTATAAACCTCATTCTGAGTAAGGGATGTTTTGGAATAGAACTTTATTTCAAAATGTGGTGCTGTGTAGACAGCACCAAATGACTAAATAAGCTATTTTGAAATAGCATCGCAATAAGATATGCAATTTGCGTAACTCAGATTGCGTATTTTATTTCGAGTCACAATGCTGTGTAGATGCATCATAAGGGAAGATAAGCACCAACTGAAGGCAATTTGGGGGGTCTTTAGCAAATTAAAATGATGCTGATGCAGAGGTTAGCTAAGTATCCCAAGCTCTAGAAATATTAATGCTCTAGGATGCCACAAGCACAAATTAATTTCTTTGGCATCTTTTTCTGGAGAATGTTATACTCATAAAGGAATCGAGGACATGAGGGATAATTCAAAGATATTTATTGCATTGCCCTGGCACTCGACTCTTCATTTTTCTCTACATAATTAGTAACTAAAAAACTGTATGTGAAATCTGTATTTGTTCCTAGTCATTCCCAGCCAGCCCTGCCTTGGCGTAAACTGGCACAGCAATGCTGACTAACAGAGCAACATCCATTTACATCTACTGAGAATCTGTCCCTGTTCCTCTCACCTGATCCCAGGGTTTTTAAGGAAGATCTGTCATACGTCTTCACCCACTTATCTCCATACTTCAGCAGAAGTCGTATAGCAGTTGGCGCACCATAAAACTGATTAATTTTTAATCTCTGTACAGTTTCCCAATAACGACCTGAAAAATCCCAAATATTCTCCTTTAGTCTCTTTTGTTACAAACGCAGAACACGAAGGTAAAACTCTACAGCCTCTACTTGCTGTATCTACAAAGCAATGCTGAGAGCACCTGTATTATCCTGGGCACATATATACACCTAGCATGTATGGACACAGCCTCAAGAGACATGGGAGAGGTGATAACAGGAAGGAGCCAAGGCAGCCAGGTCACACTTGACAGGCTCCTAAGCTACAGACATGCTTAATTCAAACCGCAACCAATTACTCCCTCACCTGGGTCAGGATACAATGGAGTGCTCTCAAAGAGGACAGAGGTTCCCCCATTACAGAGTGGTCCATATACAACATAGCTATGTCCCGTGATCCAGCCGATGTCAGCCACACAGCCAAAGACGTCACCTTGCTGGTAGTCAAACACATGCTGCAAAGAAAAGCAGTGTGAAGCTGTGTCCTGATGCTGAGCGAGATAATATGTGCTGCACCCATTTCAGTTCAGCCTGCAAAGCTACCTTTAACGCTCTACACAGAGCAAGCGCACAGACACACGAGCTACAAATGCGCAGAGGCACGGCTGGCCTCGCGTTTGGAGGCTACAGCACCATTTGTAACCAAGGAGTGGGCCAAATCAAACCAGACACACGCCCATGGGTTTCAGTGGGAGTCTGCATGAGTAAAAGTGAAGGCTGTGATCCCGCAGTGTGTAGGAGGCTGCCTGCACCTGTGTCCCGCCAAGGCCAACGGCTCCTCAGCCAGGCAGAGCTCCTCGCAGGGTCGGGCCTCAGGGTTTAACCGACTGCATAGTTACAAGCGCTCTGATTGTTTCCAGGCAAATGCCCTGAGCATTAATGAAGGAGAATAGGTCTCCGTAAGAGACTCAGTTAGGTTCAGCTTGCCATAGGCACCCTCACACACCAACAGCCTTTCACATTAGTCAGATAACAGCATCTGGGCTAGACGTAAATGTAGATAATTAACTAATCCAGTTGTCAACGGGATGTCCATGACTATTCAATCAGTCAATAAGGGCGCCTCTGCCTTTGAACCACAGCAAGAGCCCTGCCAGAGCCCCCCTCCACCTCCCTCTGAGCAACACAGCAAGGGGGAGAGCGACTAGTCGCATCACTAGTTGGCTAGTCACTTACATCCCTAAGCTGGGGCTGATTATACTTCCCTGGCTGTCTGAGGGTATGTCTACACTACAGCGCTAATTCAAACTAACTTAGTTCGAATTAGTTAATTCCAACTAAGCTAATTCGAACTAACGCGTCTAGAACTAAAAACTAGTTCGAATTAGCATTTTGCTAATTCGAACTAGCATGTCCACATTGAGTGGACCCTGAACAGGGCTTAAGGATGGCCGGAAGCAGTGCCGGCAGGGCATCAGAGGAGGACTTAGAGCGTGGAGATGCTGTCTCAGGCTAGCCGAGGGCTGCGCTTAAAGGGTCCCGACCCCCACCCTGGACAGACAGTTCTCAGGGGTGCCCCGCTTGAAAACCAGTCCTGGCTTGGAGTGCCCGGAGTACCCACACTGGGCACATCACAGCACTCGGCCATCAGCCCGGCTGCACTTGCCGCAGGCTGCCATCTGGGGAGAGGGGGCAATTGGGGGGCTGCAGGAGAGCTTCCACCCCCAGAAGCCCGCAGAGCCAGCCCAGTCCTCCCCATCGGGGGCTCGTGCCCCATTCCTCCCTCACCTCCTTCCACTTACCATTCCCTAGCCCCCCTTCCTGATGTACAAAATAAAGAAAACATGTGGTCAAAAATAGAATCTCTCTTTATTGAACAAAACT